CATAGTTGACAATGAAGTTGATGACATACATGCAATTCGAAGTGATCATGATGAAGGGATATGGGAAAACATACCATCATAATAGGTGTTTATCTTCACATTTTTTAGTTCTTTTTATTCAAACTTATAAAGTATGTTGACTTCATATTGTTTTGTTTTTCAGGATATGTCGGATTCCACATCTGGTACTGGTAGTGGTAGTGGCAGTGGTAGGAGCGGAAGTGGAGGTAAAGGTAGATCTGTCACTCGGTTAAAGGGGTTGACAACAAGGAGGGTAGCTAGAGAGAAAACTCAAGTTGAAGTTGATCCACGTTCCGGTAAGGCATCCGGCCCAAATGCTCGCTAAGTTTAAGAGCTATTTGGGACTACTAGCTCGACACCATGTTCCGATTACTACTCCATCTTGGGATGATGTAGAGGAAACCGAGAAGAACCTCATGTGGCAGGATGTTCAGGTATTTCTATATTTGTTGAATACTTTATATATCATTATTAATTGAATTTAACATTTATTGGTCATTTCACAGCAAAATTTTGATGTTCCTAACACCGAGGTGATGAGGAAGAAGATTTTATCCTCCATTGCCATTAGATGGAGGGACTTTAAGACTTTCTTGACATGGGAGTATGTATTTGGAAAGTTTCAAGATGAATCTCCCTGTCTAAAGTATCAAATTAGTGAGGAGGATTGGTTACAGTTTTGTGCCAGCCGAATGGACCCCTCTTGGCAGGATAAAAGATGTGCTGCCCAACAATGTCAGAGGTTGAATGATGCACCCCATGTATTGTCACGAGGAGGGTATGCATTATTGGAGCAACGTCTCATGAAAGCCAGACAAGTGTCAGCAGGAGTTGAGTCTACTGACATTGCATCTCCACCCCCTCGCTATGAGATGTGGAAGGCAGCCCAGACAAAATCTGATGGACAGATGACTTCTGAGTCTGCACGAATCATTGCTTAGAAAATTGTAAGTTATAATGTCTATTTGAATTGATTCTAATGTGAAAGTTAGTGTATGACTTAATTATTGTTAATGTGTTGTAGGATGATTTAGTTGAGCAGAGCACCCAAGGATCATTTATTCCTCATGGTCGACAAGATATATTGGCGACAGCCATAGGAAAACCAGATTACTCAGGACGTGTGCGTGGTGCTGGTGGATCCTGGGGCCTTCGTGATTACTTTGGTCCAACATCACAAAGGACCACTACTGACTCTTGCAGCCAGGAGGCCTTGCATAAAATGGAGATGCAGTTTGAAGAAAAGTTAAATCAAATAAGGTAGTCCTTGCAGCAAGAGTTTGATGAAAAAATTGAATCTCTCGCCCGCTCTCAGCAACAGACTCAAGGAACACCTCAAACAATTGAACATGATGTTGTTCGAGTCAACACTAAAGGGAGTTGTGCTGCTACTACTGTTGATCCTTCAGGAGAATATACTCAGACTGATGCATCACACCAGTGTGAGTTATATGTTGAAGATGACCCCCCACGTCTAGTGGCTATTGGTCGAGTTTTTGAGGGTGGCTTAACCATCCATGGTGTCCCTCTACAGGCAGACTGGACACGAGTAGTAGTTGATGAAGTTCATGATGCTAATGCTCCAGTTCCTTTTCCTAATGAAGAGATTCAATTAGTGGGGCAGGCAAGCGGGACATTCTTGGCTTGACCAAGACGTTTGGTTATGCCACTATCAGCACAGACCAAGGTAATATATATATATTGTCTATTTTCTCTTTTCTACTATTATAATTATATAAATGTTTAATTAATTGTTATCATTTGTTTAGGAGGCCTTGCGTCGTGGTAAGCATAAAAAACAACCTATTATTGATGAGGATCTGACAGAATGTGATGATGATCCCATCTCTATGTTGTTGACCAATTAGCACGGTTGAGGAAGAGACCGTGTCAGATACAATGGGATGTTAGAGTGTTTGGAATTGACAGTTCCAGTATTCCATTATACATTTCCTTGCCCGATGCTTTAGAAATTGCTGGGGGAAATTGCATGTTAAACATTTCCATCATACAATTGTGGGCAATGTAAGTCATTCTCATTTATGTTTCTAAGATTATAATAATTATATTCAACTTATAATTAATTGTTTTAGGTACATGGACAAATTGAGTGTGGAACAAGAAAAATCCAAAGTATACTGGATTTATTGAGCCTCAATCCATCCAAAAATCTGGAAATACAAAGGTTGGAATCCAACAATATATGCAAACATGGATGAGTGACTCAAAAAGACATATATATTTGGCTCCATACATTGAAAGGTTAGTATTTTAATTTGTATTTTAATTTATATTTTTGTAACTAATTTTTATGTCATACAATGTAGGTCCCATTGGCAGTTAATTGTAATCATACCCCTGGATTACACTCGTGGTGTGGTTTTGTTCATTACATCGGAAACCGAGTCAAGAAATGAAAAGCTTATTACAAGGGTAAGTTTATCTTTTATTCATTAATTATGTTTTTAAATTGTAAATACATATTGAATAATATATGACTTTTTTTCACTTAGAATCGTGTCTGGAACTAATGTTCTAAGTGGAAAACCTAGAACAAAGACTTTGCAGTTCATTTATCCTAAGGTTAGAAACTTATTTATATAAGTGAATACCATAATTATTGTTTGTATTTAAATTTTGAAAATAACATTATGTGTTTTTCATCATTTCAGTGTAATAAGCAAACAGACTCGTTTGAATGTGGTTACTATGTTATGTATTGGATGAGAGCCATAATGTGTGCGGGTATAATGGATTCTTGGACGGAGGTAATTGTTTTTAACATTAGTTAAGTTTATTTAACTTTATTCATGTTACATGTTTACAAAAGTCAAATCAATGTTTCAGGTATTTCAAGATCCATCTCCATTACCAAAATATGATATTACACAAATTAGAGAACAATGGGCAAAATTTTTTGTTCAACAATTCTAGTACATAATTTTTTAAGTTCTTGTTCATATTATATTGTGTGTATTATGTAGTTTAGGTAGCTTAGTTTGTATTAACTTTTAGTTTGTAATAGATTTTTTAGTTTGTATGTTTGTATTATATTGTTTTATTATGTAGTTTGAATTATATAATATTATATTTTTAATTTACTAGCTAAAGAAAATTGAACCTGTGGACTGTCTGGTTGTAATGTATATTTGCAGGTTTTAGTTGTAAAACAGAATCAACCCAATATAAAAAAAAACAGCAAATTTATGTTGCATATTGGTATATGCGACGTAAATTTACGTCGCATTTGCCATATGCGACGTAAATTTGCTATTTTTTTTTTAATTTTCGAAAGTTTTTACGTCTGTTTAGTGGTATATGTAACGCAAAATTACGTTGGGTCTTGATAACTGACGTAAATTTACGTCGTGCTAAAGGGTCCGACGTAAATTTACGTCTCCCGTTTTAACGTCAGTCTTAAATACGACGTAAAAAGCCCTAAATACCTGACGTAAAAGTCCCTTTTTACACTAGTGCATACATTCATATTTCTTAACCTATCGAGATGTCTTTTAAGAATAAAATTGTAATAGAAAAAAAAATTCAAAGTACAAAATACTTTAAATGTGGTGATGGATCTATTGATATTATTATTATAGTGGATATGTGTTTATTAGAGATCATATCACTATTGAGATCACATCTTTATTGTATACCGTTTTCATATAACTATTTCTATTAAAAACAATTATTTTTTTGTTTTTATTGTTACTCTTGTTCTATCTTTTTCCATCATTTTCTCTTCATGTATATAAACATATATTTGGGAATAATACAAAGTTAGTTTATCTTTTCTCAAGGATTTCTTTTATTTAGCCATGACTCTGCATTGTTAATATGGTATCAGATTAAACACCCTCTGCATTTTCTGCATGCCCCTTCTACTTTCTTGATTGATCAACCATGGCTTCCATTAGCCAAAATTCTACTTAAAATCAACCTCTAGATCACATAGTTAATCCCTCCAATCCTCTTTATCTTCATCCTGGAGAAAATCCTGCACTTATTCTTGTTATTGCGCTTCTTATCAAATCAAACTATTATCAATGGGAACGTGAGATAGTTGTTGCCTTGGAAACAAAGAACAAAGAAAGATTTATCACAAATGATTTCCCTTGTCCTCCGATTTCTGATCCTCTGCATGATCCATGGTGTCATTGTAATCGCATGGTAATCTCATGGCTTATAAGATCCATGACTCCGACTATCAAGCATTTACTTATGTGGATGGAAATAGTGGTCGAGATATGGAAAGATCTCAAATATCATTTTTCTCATGCAAATAAATTTCGTATAGGTGGTTTATAAGATCAAATACATAATTATAGGTAAGGTGATTCCTCTGTTTCAAAGTATTTCACTCACTTGAAAGTTATGCGGAAAGAACTGGAAATGTATCATTATGTTCTTGCTTGCTACTATTCACCTACGTGTCCTCAGTAGCTCAGTGGTAGAGCGGTCGGCTGTTAACTGACTGGTCGTAGGTTCGAATCCTACTTGGGGAGATTTAATTGATTCCGAAATCTGTAATTCGGAATGGGTTTGCTTTGACCGTTAAGAAGAGTAGATAACTCGTTTCCCTTGTCTTTGTTTCTATTGTATTCTATCTCATTGTATCCCATTCTGTTCTTCGATATTTGAGAATCGCCATCAATACCTCGGTGTAGGTTCGGGATACTCATTTGTTCGACAGTTCGGGGCTATTTATATTTAAACCAACCAATTCAAAATTATTAGATATACTAGTACTAGCAGTAGCAAGTGCATCTTTGATGCATTCATCAATTTTCCCGAGAAGCAATTACCACTAGCAAACATATTAATGATGAGGAACGCATTTTTGTGCTATGCTAATAATACTTTACCTGCTATTCCAAACCTGGCTGAGGAAGCGTAAAAAAATGGGGATTAAAAGATTAGGGCATACTAAATTTATTTAATAAAACAGTAAGGTCATTCCATTTCTACAAACTACTCACAAGTTCCATAGCTTTGGGTCCACTAGCCCGATCATGATTTTCATACCCCTAGAGGGAAAAATCCTTCCCTTTTTTGGCTGGTTGTGGGCGAGGAGGAATTCGAACCCCCGACACCGTGGTTCGTAGCCACGTGCTCTAATCCTTTGATATGTTTTATACGTCATCATTTAACGTCGGTTATAGTTGAGACGACATAGAAAGTACTTTCAACGTCGGTTCGCAGATGAACCAACGTTGAAAGTTGAATGTTAAACACATTCTATGTCGGTTTTTAGTCAACCGACGTAGAAAGTACTTTCCACGTTGGTTCCCAGATGAACCGACGTTGAAAGTCTTTTATTGACACTTTCCACGTCGGTTCCCGTGATGAACCGATGTGGAAAGTCTTTTTGCTTTTATTTTTTTCACCCAAAAATTCACTTAAATTAGAAATTTGTCACCGACAGGATTCGAACCCAGGATTTTAGAATTGAAAACTAAAACTCTAACCACTAAACTACTATAATTTTCTAATAATAACTTACAAATAAATTATATTTATATACAAATAAATATATATCCATGTAAATATATATTTATTTGTATATATTTTCTGGAAAGTGTTTTTATTTTTTTTAGCCAAAAATTCACTTAAGTTAAAGAATTGTCACTAACAAGCATTTGAACCCAGTATTTTAAAGTTGAAAGTTAATATCCCAACCCCTAAACTATTATAATTTTTTGATAATAACTTACAAATAAATTATATTGGTATTTTTCGATCGAGGGTGAAAGTGGGATTAATTCTCGTTTGAGTGAAAATACGTTAAAACTCACGTAAATTCACTCGCTCAAGCCTCGTTTGAGCGAAAATTGGTATTTTTCGCTTGAGAGAAAATGACGCATTTCCCAAATTTATTTTATATCATTATATAAATAAATTATAAAGATTATATTCTGTCATTAAATTACAAACTCATATAAAGAAACCCGCTCACAAATTTAACATCAAATTTTGAAAACCCATTCGACACGCACTTTCACCTTCAAGCGTGCCCTCACATCCAACATATAAATATATAAATATATAACTATATAAATATATCAAAATATATAAATATATTTGTATTTATATATTTATACTGGATATATATTTATTTGTATATAAATATAATTTATTTGTAAGTTATTATCAGAAAATTCTAGTAGTTTAGTGGTTGGAGTATCGACCTCCAACTCTAAGGTACAAATTAATAAACTTCTAAAAAATATAATATAAAAGAGAAGGGGGACCTAATAAAAATATAATATAAAGAGAGGGGGGATTTCTAGATAAATAAAGGGGTAAAGGGGTTGTAAATAAATAAAAATTATTTATTTGAAAAATCATACTTTCAACGTCGGTTTAATAGAACCGACGTGACTTTCAACGTCGCCTGATACAACGTCGGTTCAACAACCGACGTTGAAAGCCTTCTAGAACCAACGTGGAAAGCCTTATTTGTCGTAGTGATTCTTAGGTTCATTCCTAAATAATGCTCATGGATCCTATGTCTTCCCTAATCAAAAGTTTTTCTCTGATTTTACAACATGAATGAGAATTTCTTGGCATTTCTTCGAATACTTTGTCTTAAGATTCCATTACCTTTCTGCCTCTACAAAAGGATCATCTGTTTCCACCAAGAATGCTTCGATAAAAAATGTTTTGGGCCGTAATAATAAGTATTGTCAAAATTGCAAGAAAACCAATCACACCATTGATACTTGTTATTAGCGTATTGGTTTTTCTCCTAGTTATAGAAGATCTAATCGTAGTAATACTTCCAACACTGGTTCCTTGATTAGTTTAACTAATGTGGATCCTGATACATCTTCACAATCTTCTTCTCTGCCAGAAAGTTCTAACCAAGATCAGTATCATTTCTCCAAAGAGTAGTATTGGGCCCTCCTAACTCTTCTTCAGCAACACAAGGAACCTTCTTCTTCCATTAACCATACTTTTGTCAACAATTTAGGTGACACTTTCTATTCTTCCAATTGAATTTTAGATAGTGGAGCAACATACCATATATGTCCTACCAAATCTTTATTTGAATCTTACATCCATTCAAACCAGTACCAATAAAATTACCAAATCACACTATTGTTTTTGCTACCTTTCTAAAACCATTCATCTTTGTCTCCTAACCCTTCATAGCACTCTTTATGTACCAGATTTTGATGTTCACTTAATTTCTATTCCTAAACTCATTTCAACTCTTCAATGCATGATATTATTTTGTGACAATCATTGTTTCATCAGGCAGATATCCAATCTTTGGATGATTGGTGTAGCTAAACAAAGGAGTGACTTATTTTACTTGCAAGAATATCGTGGTTTGAATTCGTCTGCACATGTTTCTAACAATTATTTTCTAGTTCATTTTTCATCTGTAATGAATATTGATAATTCTCAGTTGTGGCATTTTTAGCTAGGCCACATGTCTCATAAGGTGATACAACATTTGTCTTCAAAATACAATAATATCACTTTCAATACTTTACCTCCTTGTGATATATTCCATTATGCAAAACAAATTAGACTTCCTTTTCTAAATAGTCAAAGTCGTACTTCAATTTTTGTTGAGTTAATTCATGTAGATATAAGTCACTCCTTTATTGATGTTTTTAAATACTTTCTTGATGGTTTTAAATACTTTCTTATAGTTGTTGATGACTACACACAGTTTACTTGGGTTCATTTTTTACAAGACAAACATGTGGTCAAGACTATTCTTCCATCTTTTGTAACATTGATTGAAAACCAATTTTCTGTTAAACTAAAAAAAATTAAGATTTGATAATGGAAAAAAAAAATTTCTCCATGATTTCCTTTCTAATAAAGGCATTTTTCATGAGGTCTCTTGTGTTGAAACTCCTCAATAAAATGACATTGTTGAGAGAAAGCATTAACACTTACTTAACGTTAGTTGTGTTTTTCTTTTCCAAGCCAATTTACCTTCTTGTTTTTGGACATTTGTTGTCAAACACGCGACACATCTTATTAACATGCTTCCAACTCCTTTTTTTGAAAAATAAATCACCTTATGAATTCCTTTATGGACATCCTCCTAATTTAAAGATGTTATGCATGTTTGGTTGCTTAGCCTATGCTTTAACTATCACTACTGCACAAACTAAACTTGACAAAAAAAAGCCTAAAAATGCATTTTCTTTATATGTAAAACTAGAACTAAAGGTTTTGTTTTGTATAATATCATTCGAAAGTCTTATTTTGTTTCATGCAATGTAATTTTTGATGAGACGCATTTCCCTTATGCCAATAGTCATTCTTCTTTGTCACATTTTAATAACACCAATGTCATTCCAAATAAAAAATTCTTTGAAAATTTGATACATTATGATACACCTTTTTTTCATTCATCTATTCATGTTGCACAATCACATGATTATGTTCCTTCTATAAAAAATAATGATTGTTTTGCAGCCTGATCAAATTCAAATCACAAATTCTAATGCAAAACTTTCTATGTGAGTAAGAAAGCTACCATATTATTTAGCTGATTATCATTGTCATCATCCTTCCTTATCTAATTCTGATCCCACTATTTTATATCCTATGGCCTGTTATTTGTCATACTCAAAATGTTCTAACACTCACATTGTTTTCTGTCTTTCAATTTTTGGTACATATGATCTTACCACTTACAAAGAAGCCAATCAACTTGAATGTTGGAGGAAAGCTATGATGGTCGAGTTACTAGCTCTTCAAAAGAATCATACATGGTCCTTGGTTGATCTTCCTTTAGATAAGAAGATTGTGGGTTGTAAATGGGTTTAAAAAACCAAATATCATGTTGATGGTTCAATTGAAAGGCATAAATCAAGGTTGGTAGCACAAGGTTTCACACAAACAGAAGGGTTATATTTTTTTTGAGACATTTTCACCTGTTGTGAAGCTGACCACAGTTGGATTTTTTCTATCCATAGTTGTTTCTTCTGGATGGTTTCTACACCAGCTAGATGTAAAGAATGTTTTTTTGCATGGTGATCTTCATGAAGAAGTCTACATGCGTCTTCCTCCTGGCTTTCACGCTTCTTCTTCCAAAATGGTTTATAGATTTCACAAATCATTGTATGGATTATGTTAACCCAACAAAAAATGGATGTCAAGCTTACTAATGCTTCGATTGATTTTGGTTTTATCCAAAGCACAACTGATCACTATCTTTTACTCATCATCAAAACCAATCTTTTACAACTCTTTTGGTTTATGTAGATGGCATAGTCTTAATAGGAAATAATTTGACAATCATTACTCAAGTCAAGCAATACATTTATCATCAATTTTGTATAAAAGATATTGGTAAACTCAAGTACTTCTTAGGATTCGAGGTTGCTTATTCCCAATGTGGTCTTGTGTTGAACCAACAAAAATACTGTCTTGAAATTCTCTCAGAGTTTGGTCTCACTACTTGTAAACTAGTTGACACTCCTTCCCCCCTACTGTCAAATTAAATATTGATAATAGTGATCTCTTGGACAATCCTACAAGCTTTCGGCGATTGATTGGAAAGATGATATATTTGACCAATACTCATCTAGATATATCTTTTGCAGTTCAACAAGTCAGCTAGTATATGTCTTAGCCAAGGAAACCTCATCTGCAAGTTGCCCTTTGTATCTTAAATTATCTAAAAAATGTTCCTGGACAAGGACTTTTTTATCCAATTATCAATCATAATCGGCATAAAGTTTTTCAAATTCAGATTGGGCCTCTTCCAACACTACTCAAAAATCTGTCACATGCTATGGTGTTTTTTTATGGTAATTGTCTTATTTCATGGAAGTCTAAGAAGCAAAATACCATTTCCAAAAGCTCCACAAAAGCTGAGTAGTAGGCTCTAGCTTCCTTAGCATGTGAGATTCAATGGTTGAAGTACATATTTGATGATTTGGCCTTAACTATACCAATGTCATTTCCTGTTTTCTTTGATAATCAATTTGTAATCCAGCTTGCTAAAAATCCTTCTTTTCATGAACGGAGTAAGCATATAGAAGTGGATTGTCACTTCGTTCGGGTAAAAGTTCTTGAAGGTATGTTTATTCTCTTGCATGTTCCATCTAAACATCAAATTGTTAATATACTTACCAAGACTTTATATCCAACTTCTTTTCAAATCAA